TCACCATTAAATTAACTACTTATATGAATTCAATGTTGATCTTGTTGTGCTAATTAGGTATGCCAACTTGGACCGACGTATATGTGTGCCTGGTCCTACGTTGTATCTGACTGACTGACTGACTGAGATTCTAATCTTCTGAATTCTTCATGCCTTTATCTTTTTTTTCTTTCCAAATTTATTTCACTGGATTATACTCCTTCAATAACATCTTCAAACCGTAATCTTTCACATTACTTCTTATACTCTTACTACTTCTACCACTATGGAATTCGAATCGACAACTACATCTCTGTGTTAATGTGGTATGGTGAATCGAACTGATGTACTTACTTACGTACGTACATACAAAGTTCTACGTTGTGATTGACTGACTGATTGTGTTATTGTATATAATCTAATAACTTGAACTAACTTATATTTATATCACCTATATAAGTTGATTATAATTTATTAAACAATATCAATCTGTAATGATGATGATGATGATGATGATGATGATCAATGTCAAAACTTTCATTATTTATAATGAAAGTTTTTGTTTCTAACTGCCTCCCTCCCTCTCTCTTTTGTTTATTCATTTATAGATATGGCATCTCTCGTATTAATCAGTATTATGCAATGAAAAATCACCTCACTACATTGAATTCATAAATTTTGTTATATACTACTTAAATCTTCTTTTTTTTTTTTCTTCAATGATTGGAACAATATTCAACTTGTTACCAAGGATATACATTAACATTAACATAATTGATACTTTTGTATAAAAAAAAACACCCCCTCTAAAGTAGATAATGTGAAGTATATTTGATACATTTATAATCCAATTAATTTGTATTTACTATATCTATATCTATGTATATGTATATCGGTTGGATACAGCAGGATACAGGAATTTATCATTCCTATTTTTAATCAATAGATAATCAATTCATTCATCTATTCGATCAATTATTCTGATCTGTTATTATTTTTTTTTTTTAGTTTCTTCTTTTATTGATCTGTTTTTTTTTGTTTTGATTCTCTTTATAATATATTGGCTGATACAACAGATAAATTGAAAATGTATGTTAAATGGATGGATCTATGGATGATAATGATAATAAATTGAATATAAATAATATATGACTTTTTTTGGAAAGGTGTGTGTGTGTGTGCGGAGATTTTAGTAATTTTTATATAGTTGAAATTATGAGTTGATTGAAGCTGGACCACATATGGAAATGCTGGAAGTACTGAACGGTTGATTAGTCCTAGTAGATGGTTACTCAATTTCGTGGATTGGTTAAAGTTAGACATTAACACGGTTGAATGCCAACCGGCTCAGTGGCTTTAGAGGTTAGGTCCTGCTTTCGATATCTCACGAGGTCGGATCGTGGATACGCACTGCCACTGAGCAGTCTCACAATAGGACGAAACGGCCATCCAGTGCTTCTAGGTTTTCCTTGGTGGTCTAGCTTCAATTGACTCATGAATTCAACTATAAAATTGCTGTATGATTTGATGATTTCCGATTGTCTATTTCATTTTCTCATTCAGATGGACAACTTTTTGTTATAATCAATTAAGTTGATTTTGATTTGAAATTTTATGGTGTGCAGGGTTGTGGATATGCTTTTTTCTATGAATGATTAGAGAGAACTATACTGGTAGTATCTAACTAGGGTAATTAAGTCATTAATAAATCAAGTCAGAGCCTGGCGCAAAAGTATGCTAGCTCAAGTTACCATATCACAATTAGATTAACAAGATGGATAATCATATTACCAGCGGTAATGCGAAAATCTGAACACTGAGTATACAAGAACAGAGTGAAAAGGTATTCATGAGGGAATACTAGGATTCGAAGTTGGGAGAAAGACAACAATTAGACGCATGTATGCCATTTCCACTGATTGTGAATTGTGTGTTATCGATTGTCTGTAATCACTGATCACAGTGATTGCTCAGACCCCAACACCGTAGTGTTTGTCTACCAATTTTTGAAAGTATTTTGACAGCTGGCATCTGTTTTGATTGATCTTGTTAACTAGTTCAACGATCTGCAATTCTGCTGACCTTAGACCAGGAAGCTTACGATTCTGCACATCAATGGAGGTTAAATCTTCATTGATGAAAGTTGTCATCTATCAGTTTGTTCATATGTAACTTTAAATTCTGATATGGCGTAAATGGTTGGTCTTCATTGAAAAAGTGGTCGAATATGTTCAACACTTAGTCGTTACTTGAGAACTGTTCAGGTAAAATGGCAATATTCCCCATCTAGTTGTCACTAAATGATAATAAAGAACTATCAGGTTAGTCATTTGCAGTCAGTAGGTATCCCTGCTTGATTATGTATTTCGCGCTCAATGATATCAGCCATCTAGAAGCATCTGGAATTGTAAGGGAATTGACGGTGGCTTATAATATGAGATTCAAGTATCCAGCGACAGTTGAAGGCTCCACTCCACATGAGTGACATTTCAAGGGTTCGTAATCAATCACACTAAGCTCCAAAAAGCCACCTTGGTTGATCCGAATATTGAGATAGACGTATTTATAGGCAGCGTTATCAATTGAACTGTATTCCACTTGTTATAGTCAAACAATTCACATCTAATGTTAATCTTCGTATTCACCAGCCTAATGTCGAGTTGTTTAAACACTAAGCAATTTCGCATGCATGATAGATTTTCAAATATTCGGCCAAATGATTGTTGCTACTTATTAGTAGTCACTTGATAACGTATCCAAATAAATAGCGATAAGTGAGGAGGAACGACTACTCCATTCTTCTAGCACACTCAACTGGATCTGGTACAATCATAACGTCGTGAGTTCTTACTTTTCTCTTAACTTTCGCTTGGACTTGACTACTCTACTTGATTCTAATTACGTATACTCATCACACATAACTTATACATTTATATCAACAGTCAAGACAAATGTGTGATTGTTACATGTTTTCTATTTCGGTTATAGTAATATGTCTAAACGTTAAGGCTGAGTAACACTATATACATTATCCAATCTGTTATAGCTTGTGCCCTATTAATATATATCGTAATGATGCCGCCAATTAGAGTATAGTGAATTATCGACGCACAGAACCCGTACGAGCAGTTTAGAGTCTTCATCGGTCCTTCTTCTTGCCTAGCCCTGCCTGTTAGTTCAGAACACCAATCCCAGCCTCTGGGGTATGAATCATGTATTTCGAATCTTAACAGATAGCTACCATAGACGTTACAAGGTAAAAACATTTGGCTACTAATTAGTAACAAAAATAAAGACTGATCAATTACAGTCCTAAAAACATCAATGGGAAGATTCAACCAAACAATACCAAATGAATCTAAACTTCACCCCATCGCACAAGTAAGTAGCTGAGTGGATAACGCGATGGCGTTTGAAGCGAACGGTACTGGGTTCGAGTGCCAGAGCGAACATCAACTCCGAGATCCAGGTACATCCAACTGACGAGTCCCAAATAGGACGAAAATGAGCGTCCTGGATTCCGCTGCTAGCAATTATCCATCTTTGCTTATAATGCTTGTGAATTAAAGCTATATCGAGGCAACACTCACAGTATGCACATATGGTCAATAAGAGACTCATCAATTACAGTCCTAAAATATCAATGGGAAGATTCAACCAAACAATACCAAGTGAATCTAAAAATAAACACTTATACACTACTCATTACTAGATATATATAGGAAAACAATTATAGAGCTATCGAAATGAGAGAGGTTAGTAAGCGAATCCAACAAAATGAAGATTTATCCTAGGATAATACACTTGCTATTTCAATAGCTATTGGACTAAAATCTTTCCATCGTTACGTAGGTATTTCTAGCTTTTGTGAAATGCATGTCAGTAATTTTATGATTAACGATTACAAACTTGACTAGCCAGCATCCTCTAATAATATTCAATGTAAAGGGTTTCGAAACTTTTCAATTGTGACTACTCCATTCTGATTATATATTTGATTCAATAATTGTTGCAATCGTTTATTCTCGTGTCATTCTTATTAGCTATATTGTCAGACATGTGTAAATCTTGAACCAGACTGCATATTGTGCAATTCATTTTTTTAATCAGATACCGAGGTTATAAGAATATTGAAGGTCTGGGAGTGGATAGCACTAATTTGTAGGTTGTATCACTTACAAATTGATCTCAGTTGTGGTACTATTGAGAACTGGGAAGCACTAGATAGCTGTTTTGTCCTGGTGCAAGACAATCTCGAAATACATACCCCGTCAAAGGTCGAACCTAAGATGGACACTTAACCGCTAGGACCACTCAGTCAGTGTCCAATGGTAGCATGATTTCAGCTCCAATCAATTAACTGATATCTTCAAACGTCACTAGTAATAGCTTTATCACATTAGACATGGACCTTATCCAAAAATCACAACTTCTCATTACAACTTTAGGAATTAGGTAGATTGTTCAATTGATGATGAATGCATATGCCCAACCACCGACTGCCCAAACGTGCAATGCTTTATGGTGTGGGAGTAGGTTGAAAGAAAGATAGGGGTGGCCAGACTAAAACATGGCACAAATCCACGAAGTCACTGACAAGTGGACTAAGCCATGTTGGTAGGTGTAGACTACCTGTTTGGGATCCGCGAGATGATAGCAATCGATTGTTAGAGATCTTGAATGGCACGGCTCGAAATCGTTTACAATGGCAAAAGGTGCATCCACTCTTTGTGTTCTACAAAATTCTAATCTTCTGAATTCTTCATGTCTCTATCCTTTTTCTTTTTCCAAATTTATTTCACTGGATTTTCAGACCCTAATCTTTCCGATTACTGCTTATACTTTTACTACTTCTACCAGTAATGGATTTGAATCGATAACTGCATCTCTGTGACAATGCTGTGGTATGGCAATTCGAACTGATGTACTTACGTATGTACGAAGTTCTACGTTGTGACTGACTGATGAATACAACCTCGAAAGAAAATGTAGCATACAAAAGTCTTGGAAAGAAAACTCTCTGGTTGATAGAAAATATATTGATTATATATATATATATATATACATAAATTATAACTTATTAGCTTGTTACTATATCAAAACAAAAAGGTTACATAAATGATAAAACCATTAAGCACTCATGTAATAAATGGATTAGTCCACAGAAAAGTACAGTCAGATATGACACAGTATAATAAGACTATTGTTATTATGTACAAAAGTGAAGTTGGACGCTCACACACACACACACATGAACATATATACAGATAGTGTTGTTTCTTTGCTTCATTATCTAATCATCTGAATGTTTTCGTTTTTTATGTTTATGTTTTCGTTCATTGTCATTACTAACAATATAATCAGTAGTATCATTTGAATAATGAATACTACTTATACCGTCATCATTTTGTAAAACAGCTTCCAGTTCTTCATAATCTTCAGTAGATAATTGATGCTTTCTATTATTAGTAGTATTTAATTTAATGTTATTACCACTACTACTACTACTAGTAGTAGTAGTAGTAGTAGTAGTAGTAGTAGTGGTAGTAGCACTACTTTGAACTGGTTTCATCATAAATGATACACATGGTGAAATAGCAACTAAATTCTTTTTAGGTTTTACATTAAGATTATGTTGATTTCTATCATAGACAATATTGTTATTATAAGTAGTCAGATTGGCAACGTTGACATCATCATCTTCATCATCCATATCAACATGATTAGATAGTTCAATATGATCCATTGTATTATTATTACATCTATTGATAGAACATAATCTTTCTTGTAACATTGGTCCAATTTTAATATCTTTCCCTTTATGAATACGATCTAATACATGATCAATAGCTTTATCAATCATTGAAGCAAATCTGGGATTTTCAATTTGACTATGAGCTAAAAATATTGAATGGAAACAAAGAAAGAAGAAATTACTGTTATTTGAGAAGAATCAGTCAGTTGAATAACAATTTAATAGTAATATAGAGAGAGGATTATGGTGACGAAGCACAAGTACATTGGCAATAATTCAGTTAGTACCATTGTTTTGAAACACCGGCGCTTTACCCGGGTTGGTGGACACGGAAAGTTAACCTAGGGGAGTTGGGAAACCCTCATTCCAAACCAATGGTGTACATGGGCTGGCTCCAGTGTCCTGAGGGGACAAATGGCGTATTAACCAATCATCGGTCACCGGCTACCATGAGACTGCATCTCCTCACGATGCTTCACTGCCTTGTGGATCAGACCTTTAGGTCAAAGGCTCCAGATGTGGTCCCTTAAGAAAACTACCTGTTTCGGTCTGGGCACCCGGGCAGTATCATAACCCTCACACAATTAAATGAAATGACAATTTTTTTTGTGACGCATATATATTTGGTTCCCCCTTGAACCAATATTTATGTGTTCAAATAAATAAATAAAGTTTCAAACACCGACTTCAAAGGGTTAGACATGTACTATTGTAGTGAACAGAACACTGGTTGGGGACAATCGAATGTATTGAAGCAAAAATTACAGACTATCTCAGTAAATTCTGATAACCAAACAATGAACAGTCAATTTGCAAATTAACAACCAATTGTTTCAATCTTCATTGTTTCTTCTCTTATTCCGTTGCTCGTGCATTTTCCAAACGGTTGCGCTTCATTTCAGTTCTTTCCTCATCCGTCTTCTGCCAAAATACATTCTATGCCTGACCTACACTATATACTACTTATATAGATATAAGTAGACCACACCACACTATGAGTGTCGTTACAGTGACATTCACATTTTGCTTCATTTGCCGTCTATGACACTGATTGGGAAAGTCAAAGGGATGGCCGTCAGCTTATGACATGGTACACCGGAGTATAAAAAAAGCTGCATAGGACTGCTATCTGTCAGTCAATCAAAATCACTGGTTGGATTCCAAAGGATAGTGTAACTCACTGGCTTGAAACGTTATCAGACATAGTTCAGAATGGAAGCCAGTGATGGTCCTGTTGTGATAAAAGCAGAATGCAATGAGTGAAATTGTACTGATCCCTTAAAGTAGAGTGCTTACTGTGACACTTAAATTCTAAGTTTGATCTATGATAAAGTTATAGCTGAACACCGTACTGAGGAGTTTTATACAGTTCCTTAGAACTCCTAAGTTTCTAACAGTTAGGTTAGTTAAAGGAGTATAGGTTAATGTGCAAGTAAATAATGACCAGTCAAAGTTATTTTAAGCAAAGTTGGATAGTGGCTAGCAGTGGAATGCAGGACGCACGTCTCATCCTCTTTGGAACTACTTAGAGGAATCTAACATTATTATTGTAGTACAGTTTTTCTTTGATGGTCATCTACATAAATACCAATTCAAAAGTTTCATTCTATGATATTCGATTTTTCAAATTAGACTTAATTGTCAAATGAACACGAATCATAATGAATAGTTTTAAACGTGCATATAGAATTCACTGAGTAGTAACCAATGTCATTTACATCAAGTCCTTTCTAGTGCTCATAGAATTTCATCCATCAAGTTGAAATGTGACAACTAATCTAAGTAATTCAATATCACGTGCAATGTATTGAGATGTAAGGCGGTGGTCGGAGGTAGTTGAAACGAAATCCTCTTTCAACTGTTTTTCGTGCTCAACCAAATTAAAATTCAATACAAATAATTCATAGTAATCAACATGACGAAAATGACCAAACGCTTACCTTGTGTCAATGATTCAGTTTGTTTCTTTTTAGTGCCACTTTCATTTAAAAGTTGTCTTTCTAAAACATGGTCAGATGATGGTTTAATCGGGGTTGATTTAAGTTTATTTGCAGTGGATGAAACAAGAGCACCTGCTTGATTTATAACCATAGACTTTGGAGTGGATGCAAGTTTTGGTATAGATCCAGGTTTCAATACGGATGCTGGTGCTGATTTGGGAGTGGAAGTTGGTGAAAGTTGTGGAGCTAATATAGGTTTCGATGTCAAGTTAGGTTTTGATGCAGCAGTATTTACTGAAGCAGTTGCCGCAGGTGTTTTCGGTTTTCTTGCAGAACCAGGCGCTGATTTCTGTGACAAAGATTCTACCAATTTCGACAACTGTGTTGAAAAATTTTCCATTTTATCATCAAGACGTTTAAAAGTATCATGCAGATAAGGTTCAATGCCTATATTGTTGAAAAACAACATTAAGAATTTTCCGAAATAATTAAAAAAAAAGAAGAAATAAAAGAGCGTGACGTTGAGACGCGCGTTCATCGTCTCTGTGGTCTAGTGGTTAGGACATTGCGTTGTGGCCGCACTAACCCAGGTTCGAATCCTGGCAGCGACATTCCAAGACGTAAGTATATTTTCACACCATAAACCGACAACAATCAGTAATAATAAGGGTAGGAAAATATATAAATTATTTGGTACCTGTCAGACTATCTAGTAGTCTGACTAAGCAAACATCATTATTTTCCTCGCCACACATCATAAAGCAAGGTAGGTAAGGCAGTGTTCGAGCTTGTGACTTGATGGTTGATATTTCAGTGCTTTAACAAGTGACACATCACTGCATTCCTTACATATATTCGACAGCTTATTCTACTCGACACCATATCTATGTTGTAAGTTCTAGTCTAAGACTCAACAAAAAATAACTCCTCAAAACATGTACATTTAACACAACCGTTGCAAAACGCTATATGTTGTATAGACTTTTCGTCTTCAGTATTCTCGATACGACCTTGATGATAGATGTTGTCCTAGGATCCTTAAACTGATGGAATTGAAACCATTGTTGAACTTATACACTAACTGTTCAGGAGATAATACTGAAAATAACAGTGATCAAGAAGATATTTCTTAACATCAATCATTATTTCTTCCATCCCCATACATATATAAGGAACCAGAGTAACTAGAAATGACACCGACAAACTAATTACCCAAACGGCTGGAGGTAGTCACCAACAAACCCGAATAGCTCAAGTGATAAAACATCACACTTTGGGGCTGAGTGACCTGGGCTTGAATGTCACATGAAACACTAGTTCCATATACCCTCTCAATACGCTTTGCTGACGAATGTCACAAAGCACGAAACTGAGGTTCAAAGTTTTCTGTCAACTCTCTCTCTCTAACCAACTAACACTAAAACATAGTGTCCTCAGAGTTGAGTGAGTTACTAAGACTAGTGGTTATATTGAGACTTCATTGATAGAATTCAATCAGTACTAAAAATGACTAGATGACTAAATGATTTTGATCACCACTAACTGACTAATCAATGTGAACGAATTACCTGTTCAAAAGTAAAACGGTAACTTACTGTTATTTGCAACATCCTGATTCTGTTTTGTTATAGATCTACAAATTTAAACATTAAGAATAATGGACTAACGTAAGTAGATGTAAATCAATGCTAAATAAGTGAAATTAAAACTAGTGTACAGTGGAAGAAACTTCTTTTTTTCTGTAAGGAATTCAGGTTTACTTAAATGACAATGGGAAATGTGAAAACAAAACTACTCATAAGCGTGTGACTATCTGAGACTCAATAACTCAGTTGATAACCCGTTTGGTATTAATAGAGAAAGACCGAGTCCCGACCGTTGCTGCTACCTTGACGTGGTGGTCGGGCTTGCCTATCGTGATGAACCAATCGAGCTATATTGGCTGGAACAATCGTTCCTCAAGGTCCTACCATGCCAGACACGTCGGTTGAAGAGCGGTAAGACTAAAAGCAGCAAACCCAAGGTCCGAAGGCAAAGTCGTACTGCTGACTGTACAGAGGTGTGACAGCAGTAAGGTGTTTCCTTCAGACAACCAGCATAACAGTGATGCTGTGAAACATGGCCATCAAGAGTAGAAAATACTTGTAAGTTACTAGTATTTGACCACAGATGTCTTAGAAATATTGCTCGCATCTACTGGGATCACCGGGTAAGTAATAGTGAGGTTAGACTCACAGGGTATTAGGGATTGATGATGGTAAATCAGTTGATGGGGTGATGAATCTTCATCGACTGAGATGGTTGGGCCACGTGTTACGTATGCCTGAATACCGATTACCATGACGAGCTATGCTGACTAGTGTAGGGAATGGTTGGAAAAGAGTTAGGGGTGGCCAAACCAAAACATGGCATCAGTGTTTGAAGTCACTAACTTCTAGTCTGAGCCATGTTGGTAAATGCAGACTACCTGGTTGGGGTCCGTGTGACTATCGTAACCAATGGTTGGAGACTCTAGGTGATATGGCTCAGAATTGATCACAATGGTGTAGGTGTATACACTCTCTGTCTTCTCTTAAACCTTGAGATTAAAATTGCTTCACAACGTTCTTCCTTCCTTATATACTACCACCATTAAATTAATTATTTCTATGAATTCGGTGTTCATCTTGTTGTGCTAACGAGGCATGGCAACTTGGACCGATGCATAAATGTGCCTGGTCCTACGTTGTAGCTGTCTGTCTCTCAAGACCGGGTATGAACATCAATATTGAAATGCATGTACACTCAATTCACAAGTCACAAACAGAATGGAAAACACATCCTAGATTCCCACTATATATCTCCATCATAGAGTGGTCAATTCTAACAAATGCTATGATCAAGTATAATATTTAACAATACACGGATGAGAAATTTAACTGTACACTAGATAGACGGCAATCACAAGCAGATTCAGTTATCGGATTATGAAACCTTAGCAGTGAACTGGTATTCGATTACCCTGGTAAAATTTAGTAGCTAAAAATATTTAGTTTATAATCAATTATAGTTGCATTCTCATTTTGTTATTATGCCGAAATCTAACAAGTGGTTGCACTACTATTAGTACAAAACTATTTATAGTAGCTTCAGAGCGTATGCAACACAATATCAGGTTATACTATTGATTTAGAAAGTCAGATTAAATTTGATCCTTCTGTTTGACAAAGCGTAATGGACAATAGAAAGTGGTTCATGGAAAAAACGGCGAGACTATAATTTATGGACGAGCCAATCAGGAGCGTTTGAGAAATTTCAAGGTTATGACGCCAATTTCAGTACCTGACGCTCATGTATGTTCGGTTCACAGAGGATTTTAGAGAAAACTTGACAATTAAGAGGCTACAACAAATGAGACTACTAAGAAGTTCCTGTATTTGTAATTGCGGTAATTAAATTACTTATAGACCTTGTGCAGACTACTGTGATGTTGTCCATCGATGTGATATATGTTGAAGGAAGACGTTTGCTAGAATAGGAACCTTTATCGCTGGATTCAGATTGAGACTAAGGCATATTATAATGATTACCGCGAACTGTATAATAAAAGCACCAGTAACATTGGCTGCGATAATCTCAAATGTTACTGAAGCTCCGGCTGTTCAGTGGTATGAGTATTGTAGGGATGTATCCATAATAAAAATGATAAAATTACACAATCGGATTACACACAAACAATAATGAAGCTATATGGTCAAGGCTGGGAGGTTTTTTTTTTTACCTTATCATGGCTCCAGAGACCAACTATTATGGAGCCATATGAACGAGTTCGTCTACCTTATGCATTACGATTTTGGAACCTTTGATCCTTTTTCTAACCTTGACAAGTTTTTGGACCATATAAAAGAAGTGTATCCACTTTATTTATTTGGTTTTGTATAATATATTTTTACTCTATGCTGACTGTTTACTGATTGGCTAACATTTCTCAAGGCCACTTAAGATTTGTTCAAAGGTCGTCCATAAATTTCGCCGAAAAAACCATCTGTTTCGGTTGATGTACGGACAGTAACAGAGTCAAAACACTTTGTAGGGACTGTTTAAAACCGGCAGTAATATTGTGTACGTAATTTAGAGGTTCGACATTTTGGAACTAGTTATTCTAGGAATGTTATCTTTGAATATCAACTTTACTGGTTTTATTATATATATTAAGTGATTTTCATATAATGGATAATTTGCCAACAGTAGTAGTGGTAGCTGTGGGTAATCAGTTTATGATAGGATGCTATAGAACGAAGGATAAATGTAGAAAATTATAAAGATCAGTCCTAGACAGTGTTGTCCTAGCTATTACAACCAGATGTAAAGAAGTAATATTCTTAGTATATTAAAAGTTGCCAAAACAATAAAATAACTCACTCATCAATCTTACGGACGGTGAAACGAAAAAATGGAAGTTTGTATATTTCATTATTCCCTGATGAGTTTAGAAGTCGTGCGAATAATATTCTGGAATTTTCCTCTTCAATAGTCCCAATAAGTACGTATTCTGACTCTTTTTCAGTACCATCATTTAATAATTTAGGCAACGTCTTTTGAACACAAGTCTCCCCTTTTTCCAACCTTTTTAGGATTCGCTTGAAAAGCTTGGAGAAAGATTGATTTTCCAAGTTCAAGAGAGGTATAGCATCATGACAATTTGGAGGAATATCTACGCAGGCAAGTAGTGCTTCCATTGATCGAATATGTTAAGACTAAATATGAAACCAAGAGGATATTATTATCATATAGAATCTTGTTTGGGTGAAATTTTAATGTGGAACCAATGAAAAGCCAGGACATTATGCAGACAATGTAATATATACGAAGTTATTGAGAGATAAGAAAGTGACAAGAACTACAAATAAGTTACTTACTAACTTAATATGAACTTACATACACTAGTATCATAATAATGGGGTTGTCAGTAATAGATCTGATTGGTATTTGTATGACTTGATCAACTTATATTGTAGAATAATACATTAAAGTCTGATGATTATTGACCATAAAATTGCATCAATAAATTTGTTACATATACCAGTTCCAACGTAAGTGTTAATTTAGATCAGACGACTTATTGCCCCCGAATGCCCTGGTACGACCGAGAGTGGGGAGATTCCGCTCTCCCTCGAAAAATGCTCTCACTTGGCCTCTGACAGGGAACTCCTACTCACTGCCATCTCGCACCACGGGTGTTGTTTACGAAATTGAGAGGACGAAAAGCGAATGTCTGGCTCTCTAACCGGATTGGTGGGCATGGAAAGTTCACCTAGAGGAGTTGGAAAACCCTCATTCCAAACCAATGGTGAACATGGGCTTCAGTATCCTGAGGGAACAAATGGCGTATGAAGTATGTTATGGTGGTGAAAACACCAACAACATCTGGCAACTGCTAGAAGCTATTTCAGCTCATCTAAACCATTGGCAGCAAAAAGTTTGGTGTGAATGAGACAATCAGTAAAGCTAACTAAACGCAAATTAGTGACATCCGGAGACGTCTTGAGAGATAGGAAGAGTACTACTACTCCAGCAACATCATTCAGACTGTACTGACCCCATGATCAGTATCCATCTAATGAGGTGGAGGTCCACAAGGATCTCCGACTTTTGAAGCATCAAGTCATCAGAACCAGATGACTTATTCCTACTAGGTTTTATAAAGATGGAGAGTTTTTTGTCAGAGAGCTGACTGAGTTATTTGGAAAGGTTTGAGAAATAGTGTACCAATATCTTGGAATGAAGTAATCAATGTTTCCCTCTTTAAGAGTAGCCTGTCATCTATACACCAGCTGTCGCGGAATGTCTACTGTCGATTGCATCAATAATAATGGCTTTCACTAGAATTCATAGATCATATAAAACCCAGGAAAGAACGACTAGAGAGAAGCAGGCTAGTTTTAGCTCGTGTAATTGGTGTCTTGACTAAACCTTCACCCTTCTCTAAATATTAAAACATAGCCACACTTATTAGAGGCCAACAATTGTTGGTTCTTGATAACAGGGTCTACTTTGATTTGTTGGACAGGACTGTTTTGATAGCCTGTTGCACAAGGATGTGTCTCTGAGGGGTTTGTTAACATCTTGAAGGCCTAACATACAAATACCTCAAGCAGTGTGGGTATGCAACCACTTCAATCCATTATTCAAATTCAGTAGCGGGGTTAGGCGAGGTTGTCCAATATTAACACTTCTCTCCAACTTCGTTACTGATGGGTCTCTGGAAACAGCTCTCAAGCACATGGTAATGGTCAGTCACAACGTAGAACCTGGTACGTATATGCAAAGGTTCAAGCTACCATACCCCAATAGCACAGAGACGTTGTCCGGCTAAATCCCAGAATAGTAGAGGTAACAAAAGTATCAGTGACGATATGGAAGATACGATTCAAGAAAATATAAATTCATTAGATGAAAAAAGGTTATGGGGTATTTTATTTATTTATTATTTATTTAAACACATATATATTGGTACAAAAGGGCACCAGGTACATATGCGCCACACAAAATAATGAAAGTAGGTAGATAAAGGATGAAAAGATAAGGCGGGCTGAAATGTACAACCAGAAGATTCTTTCAGTTAGGAAAGTTAGAACCATTCTTTATGTAGAAAGTAAAAGAAGGTTGCAGCAGGATCGCCACTGGCTTCTATTCTGAGCCATATCCGATAACGTCTCTAGCCACTGTGTTGCACTATCTCTCGGACCCCAACCAGGGAGTCGTGAAGGACCAACGGAAGCTAGCCCTTTGCAGCTCTCTTTCATGCCACGACACCATGTCATACACTGACCTCCTCTCCGCTTTCTCCAACCAGTCCCAGGGTCGGCAAATAATGCACGACGCGGAAGTCTCTGGGACGACATTCGTAAAACATGTCCGAGCCACCGAAGTCGGTGTTTCAAGATGGTGACACCAATTGAATTATCGTCTCTGCGCCCGAACACACGATGCCGAACCTCTGCATTACTAACATGGTGTTGCCACTGGATGTCAGCAATCCTTCGGAGACAACGATGATCGAACACAGAGAGACGTCTAACATCCTCAACTCGGAGAGGCCAGGTTTCACAAGCATAGAGCAAAACTGCTCTCACCGACGCGTTGTAGATCCGACCTTTTACAGCCAGACTAACATCACGAAGGCGCCAAAGATGGCCCAGATTGGCATAAGCCGCTCTGGCTTTCATTAAACGTGCATCAATCTCATCACTCACGCCACCACCAGCACTTATATAGCTACCTAGATACACGAACTTCTCAACTACTTCGATCTCCTCACCATCCAGGGTGAGTACAGGATGAGAATCCTGCCAGTCTTGTAGAAGTACTTTGCACTTGGAGGGTGCAAAGCACATGCCGTACCTGCGGACACTGATTGCCAACTGATTAAGTGCTGATTGCATGCCTTGGGCATTATCGCACAGTAAGACAATATCATCCGCATACTCGAGGTCGAGAAGTCGTTCTCCAGGCAACATATCCACACCGCCATTACTTACATCCATCAGAGCTGTTTCTAGGATGTCGTCGATGGCAAAGTTGAAGAGGAATGGTGAGATCGGGCAACCCTGCCTAACCCCACTGCTCGAATGGAACAAGGGAGAAAGGTGGTTGTATGCCCTCACTCTGCCTGAGGCGTTCGTATACAGGGCTTTTAAGATGTTAATGAACTTCTCAGGCACACCCTTCTTCAATAGACAATCCCAGAGAACAGTCCTGTCCAACGAATCGAAGGCAGCCCTGATATCAAGAAACACTACGATTGTTGGCCTGCGATAAGTATGACGGTGTTCTAACATTTGGCGGAGGGTGAAGATGTGATCAATGCATCCTCGACCAGAACGAAAACCAGCCTGCTCCTCGCGAGTCAATCGTTCTCGGGTTTTAAACAACCTACGAAGAATGATAGAAGCCAATAGTTTGGACGCGATCGAAAGTAGACTTATCCCCCGATAGTTGCTACAGGAACAACGTGAACCCTTTTTAAAGATAGGGACGACTATTGACTCATTCCAAAATGTTGGAACACTTTCTTGCTCCCAAACCTTTCCAAACAACGCAGTCAGTTCCTTAGCCAGAAAGTCACCACCATCTTTAAAAAGAGCCGGAGGTAAGTCATCTGGGCCAGGTGATTTATAACGTTTCAAGAGTTGGAGTTCCTTGTGGACTTCCGCCTCGTTTGGTGGATCAGTCGTCACCGGCCATGGGGAGCAGGACAAGCTGGTTGATGTTGCCGGAGCAGCAGGCCAGTTGAACTGCCCTTCGAAAAATTCCGCCCATCGTCCAAGACGTCGACAGATGTTAGTGATTGGCATCCCGTCATCCTCGTAGATTGTTTCACTCACACCAGACTTCTTGCTGCCAGTGGCTCGGATGAGTTGGAAGAGCTTCCGGCAGTTACCAGATGCAGCTGCTGCTTCCATCTCATTAGCACGCTCCGACCACCAGGCTTCCCGGTCCTTACACAAGCTTTGCCCGATTTCATTACGTAACAGCCTTCGTTTGTGGTCAAACTCACGGTCACCCGGAGTAGACCGACGGGCTTCCATCAGTTGTAAGGAGCCAGAAGAAACCCAGTGCTTGTAAGCGGGACGTTTCGCGAAGCCGCAAGCGGCTTTACTCGCCATTTTCATGGCGTCATGAAGATGCAACCAATGCTTACCTATACTTTTCGGTGGGGTGGTAGCTAGCCTAGAGGCTAGCTCCGCTCGATACTTACTTGCAACAGAAGTTGCAGCCAGTTTACTAATATCAATCCGTTGGTGGTGGTCAATCCTTCGGCCACTGAAAAGTAAGGTGAGATTGGCGCAGACCAGGGCATGATCAGACTCCAGATAGGTACTCCAAAAGGAGCGGCAGTCTTGTACACAACCACGCCAGCGGTAGCTGATCGCGATGTGATCAATCTGAGTCCAGGCTTGGGATGCAGAGGGAGGACGCCAGGTGGCACACCGGCGATGACTGTGCCGGAAGTTAGTGCTGGCCAGAAACAGGTTGTGGTCTGTGCACAGTTGCAGCAAACGGTCCCCGTTATCTGTCCTGCGACCAACAAGTCCCCATCGGCCACCTAGACGACTCTCTTCTGTGCCTAGACGCCCGACCTGTGCATTCAAGTCTCCGGCTAGTACTACAATATCTGTCGAACGCGCTTTCTGGAGAAGAACTGTTAACTGATGGTAAAACTCATCCTTGATTGCATCCGGGCTGCAATCTGTCGGGGCATAGGCGGAGATGACGAAAAGACACCGTTTCCCACGCCGATTTCTTCTCACTTTGATGGAACTTTCTAATCTAACAGCACATAACCGACTGTTAATGGGGATCCAATCGATTAGTGCTGCCTCAGCTCTAGCGCTTAGTGCGACACCAACGCCAGCAAGACCAGACGAAGATGCCACAGGGTCCCCGGATAAGCGCACGTGGAACAAGCTTTTCGAGGCGACAGATGGAGAGCGGATTTGTAGTACTTCACTAGAGTCTTGAATACGGGTCTCGGATAGACAACAAACGTCAACATTAAGACCTTCCAAAGACATAGCCAGCCCTATCTGTTGTCTGATCTGCATTAGTGTGCGAACGTTGAAGGAAGCCAGCTTGAACGGCGTACGTGGTTTCAGAAAGACTGCCTCAGTATTCATAATCGGTGGAAGCATTCACTTTCAACCAGACAGTGACTGGAGATCGTTTAGATAGGACAGATTTTCCACCAAGAGCGAGCTGCTGCATAAGTTGAAGAGTAAGGTTACACAAATTGGGGATAAAAGGGGGTGAATTAGCGATATGGTAAGTAATAATAATAATTATTATAATAATAATAATAAAGGTAATAATAATAATAATGTTAATTGTTTTGCTTTTAGTATGACCAGGGATATCGTCAATAAAGTTCATAATTTCATTCATTTGTTTGTGTGTGGGCTGTGATACTGCCCGGGTGCCCAAACCGAAGCAGGTGGTTTTCTTAGGGGACCACACCCCGAGCCTTTGACCTAAAGGTCTGATCCACAAGGCAGTGGAGCATCGTGAGGAGATGCAGTCCCATGGTTGCCGTTGACCAACAGCAGGTTCTTCCGCCATTCGTTCCATCAGGATACTGGAGCCCATGTGCACCA